TTATTGGAAATAAAGACCCCCCAGCTATTCAGTGTTGCAATGCTGCTTCTATTACCTACTCTACTTTCCTAACCGGGTCCTTTGTCCTCTCTGAACCTCATTGTCTTCATCTTTGAAATGAAGGAAAGTCATAACTACTATGCAGCATATAACAAATACATTCTGGCCTCATTACCTTTCCCCAAATTTTCATCATTAATTCTTTCTTTAGGAACTGTGTGTATTTGTATTTATATTTGAGGCTGTTCACTATCCTTTTATGAGATTGTTATTAGTGTACCTGACTCTAAGGCTTTGTTGGTCTTGGCTGGTATTCATAGTCAGTCCTTAGCATCCATGGGTGTGTGTTTAGCATTTAACCTGGTAACTCTAAAGTGGGGGGAAACGCTGCTAATTATGGGGTAAAGTGAAAAGTCAGTTTGATTCTAAAAATTAAATTCAGTAAAAGTCTTCAAAATGTTGCTGCTTTTTCAGAAAACTTGTATGCACAATTGTTGGCCAGTAAGGCCCGAGGCATGACCTGCAGCTCCAAGGAGGGCTCCGCTTGTGTCTTCTGTTTGTGCTGGGTTTTCAGGCAAACAGGAAGAAGCTCTGCCAGTAGATATAGTTCTCCTTATTCTTGTGAGTTTGAATTTGGGTTTATATCCGAAGTCTAAGAATCTCTTGTTGAAGATAGATTTGTGTATTAATTACCAGTTTAGAATATTAATAGGCTCACTGTTAGAATAGTGAGAAGGCTCACTGTTAGAATAATTAGACTCACTGTTCATTCCACCCAACTGACTTCAACAAAAATAAAAGAGTCAGTAACAGGCATGCTTACTGGTTAACAACATGTCATTTTTTTTTTTTTTAACAACGTGTCATTTTTAACTGAGGCATACATATAAAGAGATTCAGGTGGGGCGTTTACCATGGAGAAGCTCTGGTGAAACTATTACAGTCTGTGATATTTAAGGACAGCTTATGTACAATAGGAGAAGAACTAGATCCCATGACAGAAGGGAAGAGTACCCTATCTGGAAATATTTATAGGCTAACTATGATATGTGCCTGGGTTCCTTGATAATAGTGCTGGAGACACAGTAGTGGGAAGGAAGGGAGGTAAGAGTGTTTTATTGGAAATAAAGACCCCCCAGCTATTCAGTGTTGCAATGCTGCTTCTATTACCTACTCTACTTTCCTAACCGGGTCCTTTGACCTCTCTGAACCTCATCGTCTTCATCTTTGAAATGAAGGAAAGTCATAATTACCATGCAGCATATAACAAATACATTCTGGCCTCATTACCTTTCCCCAAATTTTCATCATTAATTCTTTCTTTAGGAACTGTGTGTATTTGTATTTATATTTGAGGCTGTTCACTATCCTTTTATGAGATTGTTATTAGTGTACCTGACTCTAAGGCTTTGTTGGTCTTGGCTGGTATTCATAGTCAGTCCTTAGCATCCATGGGTGTGTGTTTAGCATTTAACCTGGTAACTCTAAAGTGGGGGGAAACGCTGCTAATTATGGGGTAAAGTGAAAAGTCAGTTTGATTCTAAAAATTAAATTCAGTAAAAGTCTTCAAAATGTTGCTGCTTTTTCAGAAAACTTGTATGCACAATTGTTGGCCAGTAAGGCCCGAGGCATGACCTGCAGCTCCAAGGAGGGCTCCGCTTGTGTCTTCTGTTTGTGCTGGGTTTTCAGGCAAACAGGAAGAAGCTCTGCCAGTAGATATAGTTCTCCTTATTCTTGTGAGTTTGAATTTGGGTTTATATCCGAAGTCTAAGAATCTCTTGTTGAAGATAGATTTGTGTATTAATTACCAGTTTAGAATATTAATAGGCTCACTGTTAGAATAGTGAGAAGGCTCACTGTTAGAATAATTAGACTCACTGTTCATTCCACCCAACTGACTTCAACAAAAATAAAAGAGTCAGTAACAGGCATGCTTACTGGTTAACAACATGTCATTTTTTTTTTTTTTAACAACGTGTCATTTTTAACTGAGGCATACATATAAAGAGATTCAGGTGGGGCGTTTACCATGGAGAAGCTCTGGTGAAACTATTACAGTCTGTGATATTTAAGGACAGCTTATGTACAATAGGAGCGTGACAAGTGGAAACATCTTTTGTTCCACAGATGGGATTTTAAGTTACCATAATTGTAATGGTTGTATAAGTGGTTGCAGTTAAATTCCAGATAAGTTCACTTTGGAGGTAGTAGTGAATTGCTTATGAAAAGAATCGCTCAGAGGGGAAAATGTATAAGGTAATAGGCAGCTGCCAGTACATCTCAAAATGGAAGTTAGGTGGGGAAAATTAGGATATGGAAGACATTGTGAAAAAAAATTTATAAATTGTTGAGAGAGAGCAGGGTAATAGTAGTTACAGAGACACATGTGAAGGAGGGCAATTGCCTCTTACCGTTGCCTGATCTGACGAGGTTGGGTGAAGAGGATGAAGGGGAAGAAGAACAACAACAACAAAAATGAGGAGATGCTTTTCAAGGCAGACTCTGTCTTTCAGAATGCGTGGAGTAAGCGAGCCTGGGGAAGATCCAGAAGGACTTGAAGGCAAGGAACCAAAGATGCAAAGTGTCAGAGGGGGCGGGTAGGGTGGTGGTGGGGAGACAGACAGATGAGAGAGAGAGAGAGAGAATCCATCTAACCTAAAAATGGAGGAGGAGGTGGAACCATTCACCTGTTGCTCCAACGCATCCGCCTGCATCCAAGGCAGTTTTCCTCTTGGGAAACATGCATGTGTTAGTCACTCAGTCGTGTCTGACTCTTTGTAACTCCGTGGACTGCAGCCCACCAGGCTCCTCTGTCCATGGGATTCTCCAGGCAAGAGTACTGGAGTGGGGCGCCATGCCCTCCTCCAGGGGATCTTCCCAATTCAGGGATCGAAACTTTGTCTCTTGAGTCTCCTCCTTTGGGAGGTGAATTCTTTCCCACTGGCACAACCTGAAAAGCCCTTCCTCATGGGAACAAGGTGGTAATTCTGGTTTCTCTCATGCTTGACTGTTTCTGCTACTCTAAGAGGCTTATGAGGGTGACTCCGGCAGGCACGGGTCTGGGGATGTGAGTGAGTGACAGTTGCTCAGTCATGCCTGACTCTTTGCAACCCCTTGGACTGTAGTCTGCCAGGCTCCTCTGTTCATGGAATTCTCCAGGCCAGACTACTGGAGTGGGTTGCCATTTCCTTCTCCAACACCTCCTGTTCATTGACAGTTAAAAACAATGCTGCAGCATAGATTTTATCATCCTTATTTTATAGTGGAGAGAACTGAAGCTCAGAGAGGTGTATTCCTCAAGGTTCACAGCTAGCAAATGATAGAGATGGGATCTGAACAGGTGTGTGTAACCCCACAGCTGCTGTTCTTGCCACTACACTACACTGCTTCTACCAAGGCAAGCTGGTAATTTGAAAGTGCTTTTAATAGAGCAAAAAACCCACCAGAGGAGAGAAGGCAGTAAGCTTGGAAGCAGGTCATGAAGAGCTTTTTATGCTGCGGTTAGAGGTCCTAGCTTTGCAGGTAATACAGCCTGTTGATAGTGACACACTCGTGATGCTTCAGTGAAATGGCTCTGGCCACAAGGAAACTGATCAACTTACGGGAGCAGATTGAAATGGAAGGAGAACGTCAGCGCAGGGCAGCTCGTTAGTGGGGACCCCTGTGGAGGAGACAACGAGCTGGACCTGGGCATTCGGTGCAGCCGAGAGAAAGGAGCAGGCCCAGGGGATGTTCAGGGTTAGACTGGACCAGAGGTGGTGACGTGCAGGCGTGCTTGGAGGGAGGGGAGCTCATCAGGAAGAGGGAGGTTGAGAAAAGATGTGTGTGTGTGTGTGTGTGTGGGTGTGTGCTGATGGTGGGTGTGGGGGTGGGGCAGAGTTGACTGGGAAGACAGGGAGAGATTCTGTCTGTCTGTCCCTGAGATTTATTTGGCTTGCCTTTGGTTTAAACTTGATTACAAAGGGACCCATTTCCTTTCCTAAATGAAAAATGAATATTTACTTTTTTCTATAACACCAGTACTCCTGTGTTCGGAACTGTGTGCTCCTTAGAGAAATTTCTTGTGTAAACGGATGATGTGTCATATTATAATGTTATCATTATACTTTGTTCTGAATTTTACTTGCCCTAATAAAGCACATAAGCATTTATTCTACTATTTACCACACAGAATGCCAGATTACACATTCTATTAGATGACATATTAAAATGAGGGTACCCAATAGAGTGCAGAATATGGCAACCTAATTTAAAAAGAGGTTGCATTCCAGTACAACATACCAGTGGGTATCTTATACCCTATTTATCTTTGGATATTGAATTGTTTTGACAGCTGTATGCACAAGTGAGTCCTGCAGGGTTTCTGTTTAAATTAAAGCTTCCAGACATTGTCTGGCTTGGACTGGAACAACAGGTTCACTTCAGAACTGAGCTCCTCTGCCCAGGCATGTTAATCTGCAGGTCTAGCCACCTCAGAAATCTCTCTGGAATAAAAACAGCTCTCATGTAAGGCTACTGTGTACAATCTAAATGTTTCGTTTACTTTACACAAACTTGCTCCTCAAATTGCCTTAAAATCCTTTATCTGTTCCTACCTTGTACCACTGGAATCATAATGGGAGTGGAATTCGGTGGCTTTTCCGGCAGGTGCTGAGGGGCCCTGGCCACGTCCTGGCAGCGGAGACCTTCACGGGCAGGATGTGGGAGGCCTGCGGGAAGGGCATTCAGGGCTGAGAGGGGAGGGAAGGGCAGGATCAGAACGGTTTTGCAGAGGACAGTAAAGGGATTAGCCTCAGCTCCAGTGGAAGGTTTATTTAGGGACTGGAAATAAGAAGATCCTTGAATTAGTATTTATTTAGCTTTGAGAGGCAAGAGAGAAATCACACCGAATATCCCTTCCTACTTAAATCTCCCGAAAGCAAACAGAACATGGGGAAATGTAATTGCCCAGTACAGGTTAACTCCCAGTTCAAAGCTCTGGGTCTTTCAACCTACAATAGATGGCGGATTCCTGCTTGTGTCCTTGGCGGCCACGTTGGGAATTAAATGTTATGAATCTTGCAGAGGTAAGATATTTGGAAGTGGTGGCATAGCTCTTTTCCGTGCTGGCCCACTAATGGCATCCAAATTCAAAATCTTTTGGGCACCATGTGGTTAAAGTCAAACTAGGCCACCCAACGATCACCACGTTCAGATTTCTGAAAGAAATGTAAGGAAAATGTCTACTGGGTTTAAAATTTGTAAGAAAGGAGAGGAGATTAGAGAACAAAGAGCTATGATTTTTTAGATGCCTTAAATAAACCCTGTCTCGTTTTTTTTCTCTAGATATTTGAAGTGTTGGTTCTCATGTGAACCCTTCACATCAACTTACTATATTAAGCTTCTGTTAAGGAAATGATGCTTCCTCTGTGTTTGTCCTGCACAGACAACTGGGCCAGGATTCCTTTTCGCCCTGATTTGTGAACATTTCTGAGGAACTGTCTAAAGTGATCCCAGTGCCCTGTGGGAGGACCCTTCAGGTGTAGGACATGGAAGGCCTAAGTATCTTAAGCAACTACCCGGGTTTTTCAGATGGTAAAGAGTCTGCCTGCAATGCAGGAGACCAGGGTTCGATACCCAGGTCAGGAAGATCCCTTGTAATAGGAAATGGCAACCCACTCCAGTATTCTTGCCTGGAAAACTCCATGCACAGAGGAGTGTGGCGGGCTACAGTTCATGGGGTCGCGACGTGTCGGACCTGACTCAGGGACTAATACTTTCACCCTTTAAGCAACTATGGTTTTATATTAAACAGAGCTTTCACTCAGTTTGTTCTGTTCCTTCTTATGATTAAGTTTAAGCTCATTTAACAGTTTTTGAGCCTGGAGGTAGATCAAAAACCATTTGAACACCATGGTACTCAGCAGTTGATAGCCAACTCCACCAGTCTTTATTATCCTGAACATGTGAGACTAATTATAGCAGATGAAGGCTTGAATAATCATGTCTTAAAATAAACTGGGTTAATAGGGATGGGAAATTGGTCTTGCTGATGCCGTTTGCTCCTGTTGCAAGTAAACTCCTGTGGGGCTGTAGGTTTTCAGGCCTTTAGAGGCCCACCTTAAGTGCACACTAAGTGGGTGCCAGGACGTTGAATGCATTCCTCTTTGATAATTATTTTTCCACCTTTATCGATGATCTTTGATGAAACTGATAATCAAGAGTCCCAGAACTTGGCAACCCAAATGGATCATTCCACTCAAAAACAGCCCACCGATTTATTTCAGCATTTACCTTTTTTTTTTTTTCCCTTCTAATTTTTGTCTCTTCTTCTGTCCTTTCAGTCTATAAGTAAGTGAAAGTCACTTAGTCATGTCCGACTCTTTGCGACCCCATGGACTATACAGTCCATGGAATTCTCCAGGCCAGAATACTGGAGTGGGTACCCTTTCCCTTCTCCAGGGGATCTTCCCAACCCAGGGATAGAACCCAGGTCTCCCACATTGCAGGTAGATTCTATACCAGCTGAGACACAAGCGAAGACCCCAACATGCAGATCATCTATTAGTTTCTCTTAGTTCATGTTTATAAATATAACTTGATTTCATTCCATTCAAAAGTGCCACATGTGTACAGATAAAGAAAAGAGTGAATTTTGTCCAAAGGGAGTAGATGATTACTGTGCTCTGCCCAGGAGAAACTGGAGATTTTCTTGATTTACCCAGAGTTTATTTAAACACATGATACTTTGTTTCCAGTAAACCTCATCCCCCAACTTGCCCTAGAATAATCTAGCTTTACCTTGACATTCCACTTTGGCTCAAGCATTCATAGTTTGGACTATTAATAACCAATAAATATGGTATTGCAAAAACCAATTCCAATGCACAGTGGGATTTGGGAAACTTTGGGAAACTTCAGGTTGAAAACTTCCCCATTCTCAGTCTCCCTGATAGCACTGTCTAGTTTGCTAGTGTAAATGTTCAGATGTGACTTGACCTGCCTTCAGGATGTCAAGGCAGACCTGTGATGATGTTAATAGCTCTTCTCTGGTAAGGAGTTTGCTATATCACTTTTGTTTGCCACAAGGGTGGGACCAAGGAGCCAACTTCCAACGGGCCTACAAAGTGCGTTGGTGCAGGAACTCTGCCCATGGTGACTGAGCAAAATGTATTCTCTCTCAGGCAGAGTTTAAATTCGACTCAAGGAGAATTTCAGTCTGCCCCTGGAGAGGCTGAGAAAGTATTTGTGGCCCAGGTCAGGGCCTTCCTTCACCTGCAGAGTGAAGAATATCTGCTTTCTGGTTGGGTTCTTCAGTCCCTAGACTGCCTTTGACTCAGGCGACTCTTTGTCCGAGCAGTGTGGCCGGGAGAGCGGGGACTTCTCTACAAGGAGTGACTACATATGTATCGGTCTTTCCTGATAGTTCAGTCCGTAAAGAACCTGCCTGCAATGCTGGAGATCCAGGTTCGATTCCTGGGTCGGGAAGGTCCCTTGGAGAAGGAAATGGCAACCCACTCCAGTGTTCTTGCCTGGAGACTCCCACGGAGAGGAGACTCCCAGAGGAGAGGAGACTCCCAGAGGAGCCTGGCGGGCTACAGTCCGTGGTGTCGGAAGAGTCAGACACGACTTAGAGACTAGAGCAGCACCACGTGTGCGTCGGGCGTACGCAGGGTTGCTTCTCTTCAGAGGGCTGGAGGCTGCCTGTGGCAGGGACGAGAACGGTCCAGCCGTGGCCCCCACAGTGAAAGGCTCGATGCGTAGCCGCGTAGCACGGATGGCGTCTCATTATTTGCTTCTTTAGTTCTCTTCCTTCCTTCCTTCCTTATGAGTAGGTCGCACTACTCATTTCTGCTTCTTTCATGGCTAACTTCATCATACTTTAGGACGGTTGGAGTGATGAGCAAAAACAAAAGTCTTTCGTTAGCATGAGGCTGGCTAATGTTTCAGTAGGCGAATTGTTACAGTCATCACCTCATTCAGCAGGACTTACCATGTGCATCCAGCTGTGCTGGGCATGAAGAATAGAAATGAGTGAGATGGAATCTATTTTGACAAGTAATAAAATGCTGCCAGATGCGCTGAGTGTTCAGATGGAGTTTTGAAGGCAATACCCTGGATGCTTAAAGGTGGGGCTTAGCAGCAATGACGCTTCCCAGGGATGATGACGTTTATCAGGGCTTTGAAGAATAAGTATAGATTTTTAGATATACAGACTGAGGGCACACACTTTGGGATTAAAGGGCCAGACGTAACCTCTGAGTCCATGTCCACCCATAATTAAATGCAGAATTATATTTGTCTGTGTATATGTTTATGTGTGTAATGTATGTATATCTATAGAAGGTCTATACTTTATATCAGATCTTCAGTTCTTATACTAAACATTTTTTTTAAAACCATTTTATAGATAGCAAGTGCCCCATTTCTTGCACTGTCACTCTAACATAAGAAATTTATCTGTCATCATCAGAGGATAAAGCATTTGAAATAGGTCAATCCATGGTGCTGCTGGGCCAGAGGCCCTGTATACATTCCTTGCACATATAACTACTAGGGGGATAAAATAAAAACTCAGCACAGTATGTGGAAAACGCTTATGAAACCATGCCAGCACTTTTTTATAGGCACTGGATACACAGAGAAATGAAGAAAACCAGTTAGAAGTTGATCAATGGGTCTTCTTTCCCCCGCATACTCCAACTCCAGCTCTTCAGCATGAACAAAATTAGCCTGAATCACTTTTTTTGGTTCGTTTTAATTGTTTGTCTTATGGCTTTGTTCATTCTCAGAGGCCACAAGTACTATGTAATTTTTTTTAGATGGTCTTTCTCTTTTGTTACCAGGACAAGGGACACGTGACAAAGACGTTAAATCTTTGTAAGCACTTACTATAAGGGAATTTTTGCGTGGGTAGTCACTCGTCCACTTACCCTAATCTTTCCTTCCCACCCCCTCCAAATCCCAGTGAGAACCCCTAATTTACTGAAGTAAAACTCTTACATATTTTTGGTTCTACAGTTTTCAAATGGGAAAAAAAAAAAAAAAGTCAGCCAGTGGTCAGTATTAGAAAAGAAAGTAATTGGAATTCTGGTCAGTTTAAGGGAAGGTTAGCAAGCAATGTCAAATCTGAAAGGGCAAAACAGTGCTATTTATTAACACACAACAAGAAAATGCAGTTCTAAGAACTAGAGTATGTTTACTCAACAAACACAGAAAATGCTTGCTGCTTGTTGGATGCTAAGGTGTAATCTTTTTAAATGAATAAATTTATCTTGAGTTAACCAGACAAATTTTTCTCAAAAGAAGACTAATTTTGCCATGAAATTCAATTATCAGTGAAAGCTCAGTGGAAGTAGCTATTATATCACCACTTACACATGATTTAACCATTTGAACCATTATTTGTCAAAATATACTGTTTAAAGATTTTTATATTGTTATTTCAACAGATACTGTTAAAGGTATTCAAGTCTTGTTAGCTGACACTTGGTATAATTATGCCTTGTACTAGATAAGGGAATTGACCTGAAAAGAAAATATTTCTGCTAAAGATATATGATTTATGTCCAGATAATTGCCTCCTCTTCCAGTAGTTAGCAGCCAAATAAACAAAATTAACATATCTTGAGTCTTCAGTTTAACATAGTATTTTCTTTTTATCTCAGGTTTCTTACTTCTTTCCAAAACTATTCTTTAAAATAGTGTGATCAAGAAGAATCAAGAATTTGGTGTCAGTCACACCAGATTTCACATTCTCCTTCCTAAACCTCTTTAAATGTGATTTATATTTTTATAAGACAAGGATAGTAACAGCTATTTTACAAGAGTCCTGAGGCTTAACTGTGTAACATATGTGAGTAAACTCAGCTCAATGAACAGAACACAGTGGGCACTCAATAAATGTGAGTGTCCCAGAGTCTACAGGGGCACGTTTCTGGGATGTTTACTGATGTGTCTGGCCTGGAGGCTTGCATGCAAATGGGCAATTAAGAAATAATGAACTGCTTGCAGACTCGTAGCCTCTTGGCACTGGCTGCAGCCAAACCTTTAGCCGGAGATTTTCCCTGGCCACAAAGAGATGTGA